GGCCCCGCTGCTCCCTAGCAGTCGATGAGGACCACAACAGCTGCAGGAACCCCGACGGGGACGCCGCGCCCTGGTGCTACATCCAAGGCGCTACCGGGATCCCCGAGCGGCGATCCTGCGACATCGCCCAGTGCTCAGGTAAGAGCGGCCGCCGCCGGCCCCCCTCTCTTCCTGGCCTCCCTGCTGCGGGGGGCTTGCTTTGTCACCAGGGTGGGGTCCCCCCTGAGCACAAACAAGCCCGGGCTACGCCAGCACCTCCCTCGGAAACATCGCGTACCCAGGGCTCCCCTCCAGCCCCCGCCTGTGTGTGCACATCTGCCTCCCAGCTATGCCGTGCTCCGCCCCTAGAGCTTTTCCATTAGTGCCAGAAGAGGCCTGTGAAAAGCCCCCACTCCCCCGTAATTCACTTATCACTATAGCGCTCTCTAGCCGTGTTGCAAAAGGCTGAGGTCTGGACATCTAGGGGCTGCTGAGCTGTGGGTAGACTGTTGCTGTGGGGCATGTTACGGCTGACTAAAGAAGCTTCCTGCTGTTAAAGGATTGCCAGTGGGAATTTGAGTGTGGGGTGCAGGGGAAGAACGCGGAAAAAATGAGAACTAGAAGGGAGGACAGTGAGAAGTGGAAACACTGGCATCCTCCTGGATAGTCACAGTGAGAAACAGTTTGCCAAAAGAACGGTAGCTGAAGCCTATTTCAGGGAGAGGAGGTGTCAGTATTGACTGACACCAGAGTAACCACTTGGCGTTTTTTGAACTGTTTACTACTTTCTGAGCCCTGCAAGATTTACTCACACCACTATCCCTCGAGACTGCTCTCCTTGAATGTAAATACTTTTCCCACGCCCATACGCCCTCCCCTTTTTTTCACTTTGCTCTTTTTCACTTTGCCTTCTTTTCACTGAAGATGAAGAAAAAAAAAAGTTCTGCTGCCAAGATCCTTACTCAAAACACTCTTGCAGCTTTAGGTTCAGAAGAGTTTTCTGACGTTTCAGCCATTTGCATATTTAATAGGTTTCATATTTTTGTGTCTCAGGGTGGGGACCTCTTCATGGCCCAACAGTTCAGATTAGTTCAGTTGTCCTGGCTGACCCTACGTGAAGTTACTGTGCAGGACCCCTGATTTCCTGTCTCTGACTCCCTTCTGTTACTTCCATTTCACATTCCACTGAGGATTCAAAATGGCTGCAGATAGAAAATCCACATGGAGTTACTGCCTGCTGTGGGGAGACATGCAGGTGGAGTGAGTTTTCAGGTGTGGATGCATACTGTGAATATCATCTCCAAAAAGGAGGGGGTTGTGTAGAACAGGAAATAGATACCTACTTTCTTGCCTTTCTTGCCTGCTGTCACAGCTTTTATAGTGCTCCAGCTTCCATTTAAACTATGTCAGGAGAGAAGGAGCTACCTTGAAAATCTTTCAATGCTGTTGACTAGAAAGAGCATTGATAAAAAACAGGGGTGGGAAGGGACCTGTATCCTTGGGTGCTTTTTCGAGGCCTTGGCTGAGGAGGAGCTTGTCCTTAGTGGCTGTGCTGCCTGAGGGCTGCTCTGACTTAGCCTGTCCAATGGTATCCCAGACTATCAGAGTTTAGTACACCACTGCAAAGAGGGGCCAGGGAAGCATATCCCCAGGTTGTTTTCATACCAGCTGGAGTCTCCTGTCAAACTTTCTGTGTCAGGAAGATTGAGGCAGAAGAGAGATAAATAGGCTCCTGGGAGATTTGGGATGGAGATTCTCATAATCTTGTTCACATCTGTTCAGCATGATTGAAGCTGCAGCCTGGATATCGATCTATACACTAAATGAAGTCATTGTGCATCCTCTGGACTCACTCCCTGAACCTGGGTTTCTTTCTGCTGTCTGACTTCTCTCATCTGTGGTGGTGCCTTGGACTCTTAGTTAAATAGGTTCACGTCAGAGGAAAGTGGGGGAAGGAGTACATTTCTCGTCTGCTTTGGTAGAATTTCTGGCAACAACTTAAGGGGAAACAAGTGTTTTTCAGGGTGCTTTGAAGGCAGTTCAGTGATACCAGTCTAGAGCTGTCTCACTCCCAAGGCACATGTTGTTTTGAAGCACTCATAAATGCTTGGTATGTTGTGTATATATATATTTTTTTCCCCACTCTCAACAGATGCTACAGCTACCACAGCCCCAGTGCCTACAGCAGAAGTTGGTACTTCCCAGGAGGATGAGCAGGTGTTTGAACCAGCTGATACCTTGCCCTCCCGGAGCGAGGCAGCCGCGGTGCAGCCTGTCATTGGCATCAGTCAGAGAGTACAGATGAACTCCAAAGAAAAGAAGGACTTAGGGACACTAGGTACAAACCCAGAATCACGTGATGGATCCATTCCTGTATTTCTGGCAAGACAGACCTGTTTTGAGGCTCTGAAAGCAACATTATAGCTGGATCTGCTACCTCTAATTTAGGCTCTTTTTTTTTCTCTTTTCACAGGTTATGTGCTGGGGCTGATCATGATGGTGATAATCATTGCCATCGGGGCTGGCATTGTCCTGGGATACATCTATAAGAGGTAAGTGGCTGTTTTGTGTTCAAAAACTGGTGTATATAGACAGGAATGTCAGAGCACCAGATCCCAAGGAAATGGGAGAGAAGCATATATTTGGTAATGGCACATTGAGCAAGTTTGCTTGTCACACTGAGGAAAGAACTACTGAAGAGTTAATTCTGCTCTCTGATTTCTGCCATTATTATGATATTCTGTCTCACTTAAAGTTTCAAATTTCCCTCTTTAATATTTTTGTGTGCATGTGCATCTTGATGCGGCTTTTTCAGATGTATCTAGAGGAGCTGGATTTTGTCAGAACTGGAAAGAGCAGATCCCAGGTGCCCTCACAGGAAGTTTCTTTTGATCAGAAAAAGAACAATCCTTCTAGCAGGCCACCTGTTCCCCTGATTTCTCTAGTCTATCTTTAGAAGAAAAACAATTGGCAAATTTTATTTTGCTATTCATGCATTGTATCCTATGAAGCTGACTAGCAGGTAGCACATTTTTTTTTTGGTCAAAGTTAATTTTAGCAAAGTTCCTGTATATTTTAAGGTCAGTTTTGATTTGGACTTCAGTTACTATATTTTCAGGCACTTCACTCTGTTGGACAGAAATGTTTCTGTAGCTCAGCAGCATTTGAGGGTAGTGGCAGTAGAAAGCTGCTTAGTTGTAAGAGAGGGCACGATTAACAAATAGCAGTGATTGTCACTGCAGCAAGCAAAGGGCCAGGCTCCCTCCTCTGGGAGGGTTTGTTCTATGTTTTGGCTGTTTGACAACAGTCTGACACAACCAAGCAGAAGGAGCCCTTTCCCAAGCTGGGACATGTCCTTATGTAAGTGTTTATAATAAATGCTGATAGAAAAAAAGCAGAGGGAGGAGTGTTACATAAGGGGCAAAACACAGAGCGCTGCTTGTCGAGGAATGTGATTTGAGGTGTCACTTCAGAGAATGCTGTCTTGTGTGCTGGCAGGAACGGCAGCCACTGCTGCACGCTTGTAGGCAGCTTTGAAAAGCAGCCAAAACGCTGACAGGAAACCCCAGCAGCTTTGCCTGCTCGAGATCACGAGCCTCAGGAGGAGTGAGTGGTGCCTGTCCCACCTCTCTCCTATCCTCAGCCAGAGGAAGCAATAGACCAGTGCTGGGCTTTGTCCAAATGCAGTTTTGTTTCTCCAGTCACAGAGAGCTCACAGCAGGGCTGTAGTGCAGGTTTACTGTCTCCCTCCTTGCCTTGATCTCAAAATTGCATGTGCAAGCTGGCAGGTTTGGGTAGTAGGTGTGGTGAGAAACCTTTAATGGGTTTAGTAGTTTTTGATATACATAACTCTTCTGGAGACAACATGCTATTAATGCCAAATCCATTTTTAAAGCAAGGCAGTTCTTCTGCAGCACAAATTACAGAGGTGTTCCTTCCCTTAGCAACAGGCAGGAGACTGAGGTGGGTTTGAGGAGCTGGTTGTGGCATTAAGCTGTTATAGCTACAGTGACAGAAGGTGAGGCCAGCTCTGAAGTCAGTTTTAATACTTTCTGGACAGCTTAATTTGCTGCAACAAAAGGCAGAAGCTGTCACCACCATCAGCATTTGTTTCAGATGAAGCAGGTTACAGAAGCTCCTTTCCACAGGAGCTGTCTCACTTCTCCCCTGGGCCTGCACCAGGCAGTGCTGTGGGACTGTAAAGGATAAGGAAACATATGGCAGCTTCGTGGTTTGAAGGAGGGGCCTGGCTTTACAGTAATTTATTAGCAGCAATGTCAGTGAACAGGCCAGTTTGAGACAGGGATGGACTTCACTTGGCTTGTCTTTCAAAGATGCTCAGCTGTGGTCCTCTGCTTACAGTGGGGAATATTTCTGGCCCTTTGCATGCAGCCAAAACCTTTGTTTATCTTAAAGAGCAGAGTCCCTTCTTCTCTACTCTATCAGCTTTACTGAATCCGTCCCTTCAAGCAGCAGCACTCACTCCATGTGTATATTTTGTTTTTTTTAATGCAGGGGTAAAGACCTGAAGGAGAAGCACGAACAGAAGGTTTATGAGCGTGAAATGCAGCGCATCACGCTGCCCCTGTCTGCATTTACCAACCCCACGTGCGAGCTCGTGGATGAGAACACCATTGTGGTGCACACCAACCAGACACCCGTGGAGGACACGCGGGACGGCAGCGGCCCCCTCATGGGGCAGGCAGGGACTCCTGGTGCCTGAGCAGCTCAGGCAGGAGCACTACAGGCTGAGCAAAGCCTCCAGCTTCCCACTGTGAGTGCAGGGGTTGCGTGTGTTCATTTCTATTTTGTTTTCTTTTTGATGAACGCCGGATGAAGGTGATGCAGAGGAACAGAACAATGGGCTATTCATCATCTCTTTGTGGGGCACCATTCAGTGCATGACCAGCTGGGGACTGGTGTGCTGGACCCTGCTGCTTCCTCCCACCTATCTCCATGGTGTGCCAAGGAGCTGGGGGGGATGATGGGCTAGGCTTACAACTGGCCAGATCCCATAGCCCGGAGTGTGGTTGTGGCTTCCTCTTTTTCTCTTCTTTTCCTATTTAACGGTGTGCACTGTTACTTAAGTTTCAGCCTGGAACCTCAGGAGAGAACAGTACTGCAGGGACTGAGGGGAGCTTTATGTCAGATTTAGCTAGGTAATTACACTCTGATTATAGTTCCTGCCTTTTTTGCTTTAGTGGCTGAGAGCTGGAAGCACTGTCCAGAATCCTGCTACTGGATCAGGTTTTTTTCCAAGGAAGAGCTTATTTGAGGGATGTCTTTGGCCAGAAGCAGTATGTTTAGCCCCAGTGCTCTCCTCAAGCTCTTGTCAAATCCAGGTCTTCCAGGGCTGAGGCCACTTCTCCATTCCCCTGTGGTGCTACATGCACAGCCACAGTTATAGATGTCAGGGGGTCTGTCTGTGCCTCCTGCTCATTTACACAGATCAGGAAGGCAAGGGTGAGTGGTAGATAGTTGTGGAGTGAAGAAAACAAACTGCCCTTCAGTTACTTACAGCAGGTTAAACACTGAGGATAGATAACATCCTCTTTTGAACTCCCTTGGCTTCCTACAGAGCCAGTGCTGGACAGAGTGGCCAAGCTGTGGAGGTCACCCTGATCACACTGCAGCAGTTCTGCCTCTAAGGGCAGAACAGGGCAGCTGCTCTGCAAGATACTGAAGTTCTGGCGTGGCTCCTGGCCCAGCCTCTGTCACACTCAGCTTGTGCAGCAAGACTACTTACTTACAGAGCCTGGTCCTATTAGAGAGGTTTTGTAACAACTTTTATTAGCATTTCAGGGGGTTTGGAAGGGATGGTTGCTGCAGTGTCTCCCTAATGGCAGCAATGCAAGGCCAGTTCAGGGAAACATCTGTCCCCGCTTCAGGGGATTCAAGCCATTCAAGTAAGTTTTCCAGCCATCTGCTTTATAGCTGTGGGCCTAAAAGGGAGCAGCACTTGGCAACAGGGGTTTTAGTGTTAATGTTTGATTCAGAAAAGGGAAATATTTTATTTTTAAATGCCTTTGAATACCATTTCTTTGTAAAATGTTTTAAATACCTCATTATGAGAAGGTGCAGACTGTGCTACCTTGTATTAAAGCTTAAAAGAAGAATGCTCTGTAGACATGTGTGGACTGTGGCTCATCTGTGTATTCCTCCTGCCAGAGCAGCATCCTTTGCCTTGTTTCAGACTTTGAACTGAGGAGAAGGGAAGATGCCACTTCAGTTTGCTAGGCCCAAAGGTAAATTCCTACAAGCAGTGCCTGCACTCACCAGCACTGACAAGGGGCATGGAGCTTGTCTCCCTGCTGCCAGCAGCTGTTCTTGGACTGGGACACTGTTCCTGAAAAGCAGCTGTGGGGGTGTGAGCTGTGGGTGACTCAGCAGGCTGGCCCATAGGAACACACTCTTGGTTACAGCCCCATCCTGTGCCGACCTGGGTCAGTTCTGCTTTGGTGCTGCTCAACAGCAGCTCCATCCCTTGAGAGCTGCAATGGAGACAGAGCACAGCAGGTTACAGGAGGTATTACCAGAGCCAGCATCTTGGTTCAGTTGTTCTCTTAACACAAATGTCCCCTGAACTACATATTTCAGAATGAGACATTTCCAAGGACAGGCTGTATTTTTATCCCTGGGTTAGAAAAGGAAAATGGAGAGAGACTCCATGATCTGCTGACTCTGGTCCACCCTTAAAAACCAACCAATGAATGAACAGAACTTAACTTCTTCCCTTTCCCTCATTCCAGGTAAACAGTCCTACAGAGCACTGCACTGTGATTTCTGCAGTTCTGTGAATGTGGCAGAGCTCACTGACTCAAAAAGGGTGTTCTAGATGGTACCTCATCTGGGCAGTTTTGATGTTGCCATTTTGTGACTACAATAGAAACCTGAGAAAGTTACAGCTTCCGGCTTTATTTAACAGAGACCACAAAATCTTGTTCTCAATAGCATACAGTTACTGCTTTTTAATTTAGTTAGAACGTGGAGCTGTGCAAATCACAGTTCATAAACCCCACCCACACATCAGCCAGGACTCTCCCTTCAGGGGTCCCCTCACAAACCAGCCTGGGAGGGGGAATGAAAGGGCAAATCCTATTAACAATCCTGGATCCACTGGACCCAGTTTAGAGAGGCTCCTGCCTGAATCACAGCACAGGGAGTCCCCAGTGTTTCTAAAACACCACTACACAGATTAAAAACACCCCCCTTGCATACCTGATGTCAGGTGATGGCTGGTCCCATGTTGATTTACATAATACTTTAAACTCATGGGTAGGGGGAGGAAACTGAATAATCAGCAAAGACTAACACCCATTCCCCACCTCCATGCTGAAGGGAGGAGGAGGGAAAAAGGAGCACACTAAAAATCCAGTTAAACCGTGATGTCTGTGTGACGAGCAGAACTTGATACAGATTTTTTTTTCAGTTCTGCCAACCACGTGAGCTACTGCAGCAGTAGCTTTCTTCCTTCCCCCTCCACCAAGGGAGGAAGAAGAGAAGTACTGGAAGAAAATATACCTCTACCCACCTCCCAATGACTCCAAGACCATTTTTTTCCCCCCCAGAGCATGGAATGACCCTGAGGAAAAATTCTGTTTGGAGAATCAGCTCAGGTGCTGCAGCAGCAGCTGCAAGAAGGACCTTCAAAGGGAGCAACTTGCACAGTCTGCAGGAAAGGATGAGGTAGTGGCAACTGAATTATTAGTTCTCCAGCTGCCACTCCAGGGAGGATGGGACATTTCTCCATCACTTTTCTATTCATGACAAGTCCATCCTTTAATTAACCTTGGGCAAGTCCCCTTTTGCCATTGTCCATGCCCAAGGTCTGAGCCACTTCAAACCTTTGGCTTTCTGACAAGCACCTTCTGCCGCCATTTCTATCACCTCACATCCACAGGCCAAGAGCTCAAGCACTCAGGAATGTCCACACTCAGTGCCTAGTGCAGAACTACACATTCAGGTTCAAATACTTTCACTCAGGTTAAGGTTTTGGGCAGGCAAATTCACTGCAGGCGCAGGGTCTCCAGTGGCTCCAGTGGCTCATTTGCTGCCTGCCTCATTTGCCATCAGGAGGGGCAAGCAGAGCTCAGTCTTAGTGTTTCTAGGCAGGCTTTTGGAGGTATTCAGAGACAGAGAAAGAATAAAAGCCCACAAAACCAAAACAACAATTCGTATGTGCTTCCCCATAGACAAGGTATTTCAGGAGAGCTGCCCAACTCCTGGGGCTTTTTACTCCTTCCTCTGATGCATGTCAGAGGCCAAAATCTCAGTGGGTTGTTCTGGGAAACACATGCAAATACATACATGGGCTGTCGTGGTGGGACATGCTGCTGGATGTCCGATTTCCCCAGCTTTCTGGGCAGCGCAGTCAGGGGGAGAAGCTGTTCCAGAAGTGCTGGTCCTTACCTAGGAGAGTCTCCTATAGCAACTCCCTCCCTGGCAGACAGGCCAGGGTGGCTTCACAGCTTGCAGCCAAGTTCTAAGGCACCACAGTAAAGAAGCCTGAAAAGGCCAGAGAAGTATTTCTCAAGCCAGAAATATAGTGTTCAGAGGCTTTCCTAGGTGCAGCTGGCAGGAGATGGTCCTTTTTGCTTCTGAAACATGCCAGAAATCCACAGTGAATCAGGATATCCAAGAGGAGGGAAGCTGGGTGGGGAGAGAGAGGCAGTGCAGCAGATGCACAGTGTGGTGCCCCGTTAATGCCCTGGAAGTGGCTGAAGTGCATCTCCCTCCCTGACGCTCATCCCAGCTCCAATGGAAGTGATGCAGGCAGCAGGACGAGCAGACTAGGTTGTGTTTTCAGGTAGCTTGTCACGGTTCAGTCCATACTGCACACTCACATTGTGGTCCAGCTCCTCCAGCTCAGATGGAAGGGGGATGGCAAGTTCTCCCAGGTACAGAGAGAGAGCTTCAAAGGAGTCTTCCAGCTTGGAAAAAGGGGGCCTAGAAGCAGCAGTGAGGAAACATGAGTAGGAAAGGGGAAGTGGAACAGCATCTGGAAAGGTTGAGCTAGTTGTCCATCCGGGTCCCTGTACAGAGTGGTGAACAGGGCCATAATTTCCTCCCCATTCAGCTTCCAAGACTGCAAAGCCCTCATTTCTCTGGGCTACCCATTTTTATAGCCAGTGAGTGACCAGGGAGGTCTGGCTCTTTGGAACCTACTTGGCAGCAACACTGTTCTGAAGCTACAAGTTTCATAACTGAAATCAAATTAAGTGTTTACCTTACTGTCAAAGTCCGCCCCAACTCTTTGAACCTCAGAAATCCTGAACAATCATTCCTCCTTTACTCTGTCTTGGAATTGTTCATACATCTCCACCATACAGCAGTCTCTCTCCCACACAGCTGAGTCTGAAGTCTCTCACTCATGGAAGCCTTTGAACATTCCCATAGAAGGCTGGAACTGCCCTCTGTGCAGAGCAGTTCCACTATGGGAATACAGACACATCCTGCAGGCTTCCAAAGGGAAGTCTTCCAGACCCCAAACCTACCTGCTCTCTGGTTCCAGTCTGCAGCAAATAGCAGCCAGAGGGAAAAAGGCTGGAGGACAATCAGCAGGAACAAACTTCTCCCAGAACAGCTTGACATTAAGGCCAAAATCCAGTGTGCGTGGGAGACAGTCTGGGTCAGCATAAACCTGGCCTATGATCTAGGGAAAAATGAGAAAAGCACTTAAATACTGCAACAGTTCTAGAGTGTTAACAAACAGGGAACTTCTGCATCAGGCAAGGGCTCCTTCAAAGTATTATGGTGGAGAGAACAGAAACACTGTTCTTCCTTTCCAATGAAGCCTTTAGCTCATGGCAGTATGTGCAGACAAACTTCACTGGAAACTTTTTCAAGATCTCCTGATGTGTCCATGGCTGTGGAGGAAGTCCCGGATGCCTTCTCCTCCTACCCAGGGTCTCTTTCCCAGAAGACACAGCATGATGTGCCCCTCTCAGGGAGCTCCACAGTGTCTTGCAGCTGGGGATGATGCAGCCCCTCCTGATTGCAGGTAATCAAGGCAATCTTCATCACCATCCCATCCCTTCCTTCTCTAACCATCTTACCACACCATAGGCAAAGCCCCTTGGTACAGAGCCTGTCCTAAACAACACTGGGAAGCCAAAAGCACCTCTGAATTGTTCTGCCAGTGACAGATTCAACCATCACCACAGCCAGAGGGCTGGGACAGAAAAGAACAACCATTACTGACACCCAGGAGGCTGCAGTAAAGGAGAGCCATAAAAGAGCTGGGTGGACAAGGAAGTCTTGCCTGAGCATTGCCCCAGTGCTCACCACCTCCAGCACAAATGTGGGAGGGAAGGAGCCCTTAGAGAGCTGTGGGGTGAGCTAGACTCACAAGGTCAATACAAACTTTCACATGGACAGACTATTAGGTTTAAGGCCTCACTGGGTATCAGAGAAAGGGTGTTATTTATAACCACCCAGGCTTTTCTATGCCAATAACTCAGCAGGACAGCCACATCCTGTAACTAGACAGAAACACCCATTATGTATTTTGGCAGGTTTATTTCCTTATCTGAGTGTTTAATTTTAATTTTTTTTTTAGCATCATTGTTTTGGTGACAAGGAGAATGTTCATATGCCACTACCCTTTTATATGTCTTTTTTTCTAGATAGAACAATTGTTTTAATCCCACATACAGATTTTTCAAGTTCCTAAATCCATCACTCACAACCACAACATTCTCTGAGAGGAGGGACCAGTGTAAACAGAGCTCCAGATGAGGCCACAAAGATTTATGCACAGACATTTTCTTTGTCCCCTTCATCCAAACACTGAAAATGAAACTCTGCTCTCCTGGTGTTCCTGCAACTGCTGTGCTACACATAACACCCTGCTTTTCATCTGTATTTCCACTGTCATACCCACCTTTTAAAATGAAAATACCTTGCAGCTTTCAAGTGCTGCTTTTTGTTCTGCAGATAGAAAAGCCTGATATAACAGTCAGATTCTGCATTGGCTCAGAAATAAACTAAGCCAACAGACTTCAGGGTGCAAGCTTCATTAATCGACCTGCAAAGAGGTTTTTGTTTCCACTTCTTTGAAGTTAAGTGCCATCCCCAGTGGAGGCTCTGAATTTGCTGAGATTATGCAGCTGATTGTTCCTTTAATGAGGCAGAAAAAGAAAAAAGGATTGCAGTTCTAGGGAATATATGTACTTTCAAATGGATACCAGGCTCAGTCAGAACCTGATAACTTTTTTACAGCTTCTTTCAGTCTAGGAAGAAACCAGGACCAGAAAACTACAAGACAGTTATCTTCCTTGAGGAACCAGAGACAGGGTAAGCTTGTTCTCCCAGTCTAATTCACTAATAATGTGCTGTTAGGTCACAGGTTGCACACTCAGATGCAGAGATCCGGGTGACAGCATGTGTGCACAGAGATGGGGACAAGGTCCATTAAAGATGCCATGTAATGTCCTCATCTTACCTCACAGAGAACAATCCCAAATGAAAAAATGTCCACCATCTCATCGTAGCTCTGTCCTGTAGGAAACATGAGACATTCAGTTCTGTAAAGAGAGAGTTACCCATCCAGCTATTTCAGGAGCTGCCAGTACAAAAATTAACTAAAACTATCCCCTGGAGGGCCCTAAAACAGGAGACAAAGCAAGGCTTAAACCTGAGCAGGGTTAGTCACCCCAAAATCTGTATAGACCAAGTGCATTACATTGCCATTATAGATTTTAAGCTTGCTTCTCTCTTGTACTTGGGAATTACAGGACAACACTGTGTTAGGTCTGAGCAAATGCTAAGGATGACTGTGGAAAGCTTCTGCTCATTTCCACTGATTGCTGTTCTTGTGCATCTCTGTAGTACATGGAGCCAGCTCTCAGCTCAGCTTCCGCAGCAGCCAGCGAGTCCCTGCTGCAGTGACTGCAGAGATAATAAATTACACACCGGCAGCACTTTGATCCTGGGAAAGCTGGCAGGCTCCAGCATGCCATGCTCTGCTTACAGACACGCCCCTCCCAAGCCAGTAGCTGGTAAACAGCCTTGCTTTCAGAGGTGATGTCAGACTATGCTTTTGCTGTTCTCTTCACAAATGCCAGGACTGAGACAAACTCTGAGAAACAGCTTCAGACTCCTTTAGGGCTGGAGGCCTTGAGGAAAGGCAAACAGAATGGTGCACAAGAAAGCAACATGGAGAAACTGAGCTGGGGAAGAGGAGCCCAGTCCTCCCTTCCCAAGTAGACTGTGCTGGTCAGTGCTGATATCTCAGCCTGCCCAACCTGGTCAGAGAGACCTGTTTGTTACAAGGAAATTGTATCCACTGTATTTCACCCTCACCTCAACTCCTGCAGGGGCAGCTTTTCCTCTAAGGATCTCAGCTCAACCTTAATGTAGCTGAGGGCTGCATGTCAAAACCCAGACTTCCCTACATTTGGACAACTCCCACCTGAATCCTGAGGCTTCAGCAAACCTGGCAGCAGATGGCCTCTGCCTAGATCTATGCAACAGCACATGTAAACACCTCATCCTGGAGAGTAATGATTCCCTGTTTCATGGGGCAGTTCCAAAGCATGAGGCTATAACAAAACTTCATCTTGGGTTCAGTTTTATCTCAAGCCTCTTTTGTCTTCCCTTTTATTTGGATTGTAGCAAGTTTACTTCCATTGCCCTCCTGAAGAATCCTGTTGTCAAGCCAGAAACATTACCTGGGCTGGTACAAAGGCTTACCAGGTCAGGTACTGCAGGACTGCACCTATGGCCTCTGTGTGTATAAAAAAGCTTCCACCTTAGCAGGTCTAAAACCACAGACTCTGAAAGGTTTGGCTGTTACTGTGGCACAGAAAATTTCAGTAATCCTGTCACCTCAGTACCCTGTCTCAGGCTTCCTCCTTGCCTTCTCCCTGCTGCTGGACTCTTACCATTCAGCATCTCTGGGGCCATCCAGTACGGGTTCCCAACCACCGTGTAGCGCTTCTTCCTGTCGCTCTTGCGCAGCGTCCGTTTCTTGGCAGATGGCTTCTCCAACGTGGGCTTCTTCCTCTCCTCCACAATCAGCCGAGACAGACCGAAGTCAGCCACCACCACTGTCTTATCCTGCACAGGGGATTTAGTACAAGCCACTGATTACTCCTTTTAGGAGCAAAGAGGCTGCAATTCCTGTTCAATACCAACTGCAGTCTAAGTGCAACTATGCAGGTTTCCTGCAGACACATGAGCATAGCAAGATGTCCAGACAGGTGTAAGACACCCAGTTCGTGATCCCAACTCATCACTTCCTCCCTTCATCATCTTATTTCCTAGTTAGTGGTTGCTAGCACTTATCCCATCAATTTGGCTACACTTGACCTGGACCTTTCCTTTTAGATCTTCCTGTTTTACCTGGTCAGGAATTAACTTATAGTTTCATCCTAGGTTGTCTGAAGTCAAGCGAAAAAAGGGCAGGCTTGAGGGAATGAAGGAATGAAACTACACAAAAATCTGGCGACTCAGCATTTAAAAAAAAAAAAAAAAAAGAAAAAGAGAAAACACCCATGTGCACACACCTACACACTTGTCTGAATCCTGAGTGCCAATAAAAGTCATCAAGTGGCTAAAAAACCAAAAACAGCTACAAAGAACATCTTATAGTTGAGATAAAGAACAGAGCTGTACTAACTCTGAGAAGGTGACTCTTACAGGAGTTTTGAGCAGAGGAAGGGTAGTAAAAGAACAGAACACAGAAACAGTGAAAGCCAGATCAGTCTGGAAAATCCTGTGTCAGAATAAAGCTCCTTTGCTTGGGGCACAAAGCCTCTCTGAAATCAGTTCTACCCTGACAAACGAGGGAACATCATGCGGAGAAAACCAAGAGAGGAGGATGCCAAGGAGAGGAGCAGCATGCTGTGAGAACTGAGGTGTAACTCACCAGCTTGATCAGGCAATTGTGTGAATTCAGGTCTCTGTGAATGATGCACATGGAGTGCAAGTAAGCCTGGAACAGAAGGAGAAAAGCTGGTGTTAGGGGTTCCCAGTTGAGCATTTACAGACTCAACAATCCAACTCCAGTAGTCAGACAGCATCCACAGCCCCATATACACCACCCTCCTGAAAGCACTAACCCTGACCCCAGAGTATGATCTGTTATGAAGCAACAGAGCAGCAGTCCAACTCACCATTCCAGAGGCAATCCCTTTGGCAAAGCTGACCTTCTGCTGCCAGGGGAATGGGTCCTGAAAGACAAATCCTCAATGGTCAGGGACCATCTTACCAGCCAGCTGGTGACAGCAATTCCTTCACAACAGGGACTCTTACAGTCAGCAACACACGGTACAGCCCCAGAAAGAAGAGGCTTCCTCTTAGGAAAGCTAATTCCTAAGGAATTAGGAATCCTATTAGGAAAACTAATAACGAGTACATAGGGCTGGTACAACCATCAGCACAGTCAGGCTCACTGAGTACAGGTCTCCCAGGTGCCCATACTCACTGAGTACAGGTCTCCCAGGTGCCCATACTCACTGAGTACAGGTCTCCCAGGTGCCCATACTCACTGCATTGCGGAGGAAGTCCTTCAGCGTGCCCCCTTCAATGTACTCTGTGAGGAGATTCAGCTTCTTGTCCTTGTACAGCACACCAATGAACTTCAGCACATTGGGGTGGTCCAGGCTGCGCATTACCTTCACCTGCAAGCAGAGACATCCCACCCCAGAAAGTGAGTGGAACAAGTCCTGACAGATCCATTCTGTGGTGAAAAGCACTCCAGCGCTCAAAGTCCTGTTCAGGGATCACAGAGAAGGCTCAAACCCCAACCTTAAGGCAGTCAATTAACTGCTGCATCTTCATTTCCATGCTGTGCAATTAACCTGATCTTAGTCTTTAAGGAGAGCACCCTTGAGTCTGGCTAACTTTTCAGAGTGAGAAACTCTCCAGGGCAGCTACTGGGTCTTGTGCTGTGTGTGTCAGGGCCACAACAGCAGTGTCAGGTGTTTAGGGAGCTGCCTTTAAGCTAAATCTGACTTCGAAAAACATGGTAGGCAGCCACCAAGAAAATAGTTTTCTTTAAATACAGCATGAGTCTTAAATATCTTACAGATATCAGCCCTCATCCTTTGTATTTATGCAGAAGGCTCAAGGGATAAATCCTTTATGTACTGCACAGCTCAATTTGCCTCTGACTGAAGCTGCACTTATCACTGAAAAATTAATGAACTGGAGCTGAAGCAATGTCTATTGCCCAGTGTGAGTCACACTTGACTGCAGCAAACATTCAGCTCATGTCAGCTTTTCCCATGCAATGTCTCCCTCCTCAGCACCTTCATTCCTGCCAGACTGCTGGCAGGATCTCTCTCTGGAAAAGATGGGAGAGTTCCACCACACTACTGGCTCAGAAGCTTTTTGAAATCCTCCTCTTACCTCTGTCAAGAAAGTCTTCTGTGTTTCCTCATCACAACGAATGAGCTCCTTCATCACCATCACCTTTCCTGTTGCTTTGTGAGTCACCTGGTGGAAACAAAACCCACAACTACAGGCAAGGTTCAAGAATACACAGCTCCAATGCTCCTGCAACTTCTGAAAAAGTGTTAACATTCCCCTCCATCCAGAGAAGAATAGAGATGGGAGGAAATTCAGAGCCCAGGGATCTACCAAAAACTGTGTGAAACTTCTCCTTTTGGAATTCACCAAAGATGCTGTATGTGAAACAGAAACTACCTAAAGCTGACAGAGGACCATGGCAAGAGCCAGAGCTGAAGGCTTCAGTTTGGGTAGCACAGGGCTGAGTGTGCACACAGGCTGCCAAAGCCTCCACACTGCTGCCTGCCTCAAAGTTCCCTTATGGAATGCATTTGTCCAGCAGGATGCTCACAGTTCTCACACAGGCTTTACCAACTGCATTCTGCATCAGCAAAGGAATCAATGTTCACCTGCACCAGAAACCAAACCAAACAACCCAAAACTGCATTATAAATGCTTTGGTTTTATGGAGAATCTGAATCTCATCCCCATGCAAGTGGAACTGGAGTGCACAGGCTGTTCAGTTAAGGTAGGAAGCAGTTAATTTTACCTTGCTCCTTTGGAGCAGTGTGTCTCAACCTGCAAGGAATGTCCTAGAACAGTGGAAAGCACAAAGAAATCCATCATAATAAGGTAATAAATTTCCTGGCTCTTGACATGGAAAGCATTTCCAGTTCCTCAAGAACTGTTTGCCTGTCTCCAACTAGTTCCTGGCATTTTGCAGTATTATGGAGGTTTTTGTAACCAGCTCAGGCTTGCTTGCATGGGGTGCAGGAGTGAGTAGAAAGGGTCCAAATTCCTATGAGCACATTTTCCTGGAAATCCTCTCCTCTTTGTTTGCTTAACTTGGACAGCTCTGGCTCCCTAAGATCTCCAGGGAGCTAAACAACCACCTTGCCTCTCTGATCAGAGGAGAATTATGTGACCAAATACAGTACTTGCTGCATCACACCCAGTCAATCTGAAGCCTAAGGAATTTTTTTTTTTTTTTTTTTTTAAGGGTAGGAGGCAAAAAAGTCCTTTAGAAAACATCTAGAACTAAAATCCAGAACACATGACCCAGTTATAGTATTTAGGAAGCTTATGAGCTCTTGCAAACACTGTGACACACTAGTTCTGTTTGGAGCCATGGACATAACAAAGCTGACATAGGTGGAATGTGAGTGCATGGAATAACACAACAGCAGCAAGAATACAATATTCTCCTGCTCCCATCTGAAATCAAGCATCCATACACAAATAATGAGCCAGGGAACACTGCATGTTTCAGCCAGGGATATGAAAGCCAAAGACATCTAATACCCAATGGTAAAGGGAAGTGGAAGAGACAAAGGCAAGGCTAAGTGGAATTCTTAAGCTGACATACCAGCAAAACTGAAACAGGTGTCACATGAAACTCCATGGGGGCAAACTGAACTCCCAGAGCATGCACCAGAACAGGATAGTCATGGGGTAATTTGAGCAGAAAAGAAATGCCTTTGTGCCAGTAACTGCTGGGACACAGATGACAACAGCATGCGACAGAGCAAAGGTTCCACTTACCTGCACCTGTTATTTCTCTATGAGCAGAGGAGAAGAGAAATATGCTCATTAGTATGGATCAAGCATTGGGTTTGTAGTGCTGGCTCATCACCTCCCATGGAAGCATGAGATGGACATGGTGGCTGGACACCTCAACTTTATACCAGTGTACAGGGAGAAGTCCCAGCCCTTGGTGACTGCACTCTGAGTAGTGAGGAGCTCACAAAACCTCAGCAAGGCAGACGAAGTTGCCTCTGATGCTGTCAGGAATGCTGGGATAGGAACTGCTGGAGTACCCTTAGCCAAGATCAGAGAGCTTAAATGCGAGAGAACTGCTATTGACTGAGATTAGAACTGTGAGAGTCATGCAAGACCTGACCACTACTCCCACACTGAAAAGCCATTCAGGCTGTGCCAGGGTTCAGACATGGTTGCTACATCAGCCTAGCAAACCCCTGAACGTGCCACACTAAGGGTGGGTGAGAAATGCTGGGGAGCTGAATGCAGCTCAGCATAAGAAAGATGCTTGTAAGAGGAAGTGTAGCCTGTTCCCTGTTCTCCCCACCTCACCCAGGAGGCTGCTGTGACCGGCACTCTGGAGTACTAAATCTGACTCAGGAGATGAACACGTGTGGCCAAGGCTGACATTCAAAGGGGACAAAGTCAAAACCATCTGCAGTCAGAGACACTCGTGGTCAGGGAATGAAACAGAAATGGAACTCAAAGCAAACCAGGAAAGATCCAATCACTATTGGCAAGGCAAAACCACCGAGACTGTGGTAAGGATGCCAAGACAGACAGAGATTGCAGTACTCAAAGTAATTGATGAATGTTTGAGGACCTCCCTTACCTTGATTGCTTGTCCAAAAAATCCTTTTCCTAGAACTTCACCATGAATCAGGTCACAGGGCCGGAATATTTGCTGGGAGCAGCTGGAAGAGGAGCGCAGGGATTCAGAACGACTGATGTCACGGCTCAGGAGAAGCGGTTCCTTTGGAGAGCTGGGGCCAGGAGACTTAGAAATGCTGTTACTTCGCCTGGAAACAAGGATGACAGGAAGATCAGGGAAGCTGCTGGGTAACCTTTGGTCCAGCATATCCCACCATTCACTGCTAAGGGACCAGTTTCTAACGTGCTCCAGTGCTTTTACTATCTCCAAAGCCAGATGCTCTCCCAGCACTGTGAAAACTCCTTATGAATCCAGAGCAGCTTTCAATTCAGAGCTGCCTAGCAATAGCAATAACAACAACAACCACCTCTCCTGCACTGGCAGTTGAGGTGCAGCTCTGTGAACAGGAGGAGGAAACTGTGAAGACACATCACTTGTTATCTCTAAACAAAGTACTGGTAAAAGACTAAATGAGCAACTGAGTGCTTCACTCTTAGAAAGACTTTCCCAAGTCCCAGGTTTCAGCCAGATTCTCCTTAAGGACACGTTCTTCCCCAGTTATCTAAGGCTGGTAAAAACATGACCTTTACATTTTCTGACTATGAAACTTAGTAGCTTCTCTCTGTTAACAGTAGAGCTCCTTATTTTTTACTAAGGAAAGTCTGTCATCCTGAAAGGGAATGGAGAGAGAGTATACATCAACAGCAGAATCCAAAGCTCTCCATGACTTCTCCAGTGGTTTACACCACGGCTCACATCAGAGACAAGCCGTGTCCCCACAGTCCCTGCGATCACAAGGCCTAAGCTGCCCAGCCAGGGAGCACAGGGCAAAGGAGAGACAGGGCAGGGGCGGTGCTTCCAAGCCTTTACCTGAGGGAGCGTCGTCGGAGTGTTCCTTCCAGGTTCTCCTTGATGTCCAGTGGAGACAGGGAGCGTGGGGACATGGGTGTCTTTATGTGCGTGGGAAGACGCGAGTCCAAGCGAAGCCTGTCCAAGCGCTGCGACACAGGGTCGTGCTCTATCAGCAGCTGAAGGGTCTGGCTTGTCTTGCGAATCAGTTCCTCCACCTGAAATCAAACCAAAGGGCAGGATAGCAGCAGGCAGGAGGAATGCAAACGACAGGAGACAGAGGAGACAAAGGGAATGCCCCTCAGGAATCAGAGGAAAGAGTTCAGTGAGATCATTCCATAGCTGTGGTTTAGTTGTGTGCACCACAACTGTCTACCAGATAAATCAGGCTGGCAACACACAAGTTCCTTATGCTATCCAATACTTCTTTCTGGTCAGCTACAAGTAACCTATATAATAAAGATGTGAACAGGCTGGAGAGGGTCCAGAGTGGGGCCACAAAGATGACTGAAGTGCTGTGAAGCTGCCACGTGAGGAAAGGCTGAGATAAGTGGGTGTGTTCAGCCTTGAGAAGGTTTAGGGGACACCTTATCACCATGTTCCAGTATTTAAAGAGTAGCTACAAAGAACATGGAGACTCCCTTTTTACAAGGAGTTACATGAAAAATACAAGGGGTAACGGGTACAAATTAATCCTGGAAAAATTCCAGGTAGACACAAAGACAGTTTTTTACAAAAAACAATCAGCCCTTGGAATAATCTCCACAGCAAAGTAATGGATTCCCCAACACTGGACACATTTATGTTTCAGCTGGACATAGTGCTCTAGATAGTGCTTTTGCAAAGAAAGATTAGACCAGATGATCCTTGAGGTGCTTTCCAGTCTGGTATTTTATGACTCTATTAAATACTTCTCTTTTTCTGAGTAGTGTTCAAAAACTACACAAGTTTCCACCTTGAACAGTGCTACAAAAAACAGCTTTGCAAAAGCTACATGGACATTTTATCTGAGAGATGCCTTGCACTCCTCGTGTTCTCTTCAGCACACACAGTAAATAAAACCCTTGGGAAGTGAAGGTAATGGTGCCCCCCTTACACACTTGCAAGCATCACCTGATATGTGTAGAAAGCATCTACTTGTAAATACAGACAGCAAATAGGTTTTTTGCAATGGGAAATGTCCCTAGGATCAGCTGGGCCCTTGTGTATTAGCAGTACCTCTAAAAGGATCAGAACTGTGTACTTCACCAGCAGTACATGGGAAAGTCTTCACAGCCTCTCTGTCCTCTGTCACAGCCCTAGACTTTTCTTAGTAGCTCCCTTCACATTTGAATGCCACAAAATCAGGTCTGAATCCTAATTGCATTTCCATCTGTTACATTTTCCTCTCCAGCTGGAAGGCAAAGCTTGCCTTCATGTTTATTCCTCCTGTCAGCATGAGTACTAGTGGTGTACACACACTGTGTGTAGGGTGGGAGAACAGTGTCTGGAAAGAGGAGATGTAGGAAGGCAGAGGAGAAGGAGGCTTCAGAACAGAACTCTACCCACCTCCTCCACCTGTAACGTGCGAATAGGAGCTCCATTGATCTCCAGGATACGATCTGCAGGGTGGATGGCGTTTCGGACATCTGGGCTGATGTGCATCCTGTTAACTCTAAATATGGGATTTACAGTCTGTATGTGAAGTCAGTTTAGCCAAAATTATCAAAAATATTCTCCCCTTCATGCTGGCATTTTGAAATCAAACAATGCTAATCTACCAACACAGGGAGCTACCATCAGACCAAGTGCTTAGGTCTGAGCTGGTTTGGAGAGAGCTTTCCATATCACCAGTGGTAAAATTTCAATCCAAATGTTTTGTGTTCACTGAAGGAAACAGCACTGAGAGATACAATTATCAGTTAAGGTTGTCACAAGACTGAAATGAAGACCAAACACAAATTAGCCAACCTACGTCCCTGTAATGCCAAGATTCCCTCAGGACAACAGTGCTGCAGGATTTTTACCAGCTCCCTCTGCACAGACACGTACAGATACGTACAAGATCTGGTCGTACTCACTCTTTCACCTGGACACCAGTGGCATAGCTGGAGCAGCCGCCTTCGACAGACACAGAGAACCCCCTCTTGCCATCTGTGGCTGCTGGCATGGAGATGAGGGTCAGCGTATAAGGCAGCTGCTCACGCAGAGACTCAGTGGAGTGCTTTTCTATCATCGGTGTCAGCACAATCTGGTTATGGCATTTTCCACTGGAAGAAGTGAAGAAAGTCATTATGGCATCCCTCCCTGCCAAACTCACACGTCTGAGTTCTCTCACTGACCACAAGCCATAGTTTTAATGTTTGCAGCACTCCTTCCTCCCTCCCTCAAAGGCAGCTTCCTGGCATTCCTCAGAGTAGCATTCGGCTGAACCACTCTGAGCCAGCTGAACTCGGCTTACACTCTGCAAAAAGCAGCTCTGTGGCAAAGTGCAGCTCCTCTTACCAGTAGAGAGTGGAATGTTGCACCAGTGCATAAGTGTCTCCATCTTCGATGATCACTTTGCAGCTCATACAAGCAAAGCACTCGGGGTGATACTTGTATTCACCAGCCACCTACAGACAGAAAAGGGAGTAGCTTAGGAGGGCCAAAACCCATCAGCAGATGCAGCTCCTGCTTTCCTCTGCAGTTAATGTGCTCATTCATATCTCTGAGGCAAGTGGCAGTTTTGAACTGGAGAGTTCTATTAGTCCATTCTATCTTTCCTGAGCCGCATCCATGGCACCTTGTTTGCAGAACTCCAAAATAAACACATCAACACTCTAAGCAAATCTCATGTCCCAGGAACCTCTGCTATATTTGGCAGCTGCTCAGCTATCAAAAATAGTCGATAGTCTGCTGCAGACTAGTAAACAAGGTATTAAACCTTCCTGTTCAGTTGCTCTTGGCAAGATAACTAATGTTACGCCTGAATTAATAAAGCTGAAAGGGCTTTTTTTTTGGCAGACAGTGCACAAATTCAGATATTGAACCAGCCAGCTGCCAGAAAAAAAAAAGTGCAAACTGAGACAAAAAATATCTTTAAAGAATATTTTTATTAATTGGTCTGTTCTTCTATTTTCCTTATGAGAATTTCCTTTAGTTACATTATTATGCAAAGACTTTTGCAGGCAATGAGAAATAGTCTGCACATTTCTCAGTATTTCCTTTTGAGTTAGCAATCATATTACTGAGTACCATCCTGGTTTTTATTTAGACTCTAGAAAAATAATGGTTTTGTTTCATACTTGGCAGTTTTAAAGTTTAAATATTTGCAAGGCTTTGGCAGGAGGGGAACATTTAGGTGAGCCCATATTGTGCAGGAAGAGTTCAGTGCACTTGGGGCTAACACTGCTTCAAGACCCCATCAGCTTGAAAAAGCACAGGTGGGACTTGGATGGCAACTTTCCCACAGCTTATCCTGAGCCCAGAGCTTTGACTCCACAGTGCAGTGGAAAATCCCCCCTGGAGACACTGAGGCACTGTGCTCCAGAAACTGAACAGATGTCCCCTGAATCACCTTTCTGCTTCTCAGCTCTGTACTTTTCAGCACTTGATTTGTTGATATGCTTCAGATCCCCTTCCTTTAATAGCTACCCCCATTCAAAATTAATTTTTATCTAGAAGTTGCACAAAGAAGCTTCATTTCTAATCTTTGATTAGAGATTAGAGTAACAAGGAGATTATTCCCCTCAGTTTATTTGGCTATCTGAATACCTAAGATAACACCCAACTAATTTGAGGAGATGGAGGCAGGCACGTCCTGCCTCCAGGCAGGAGTACTTCAAAGTCTTTACCATCACAGGTCCAGTCATCAGCAGAGAGCAGCCATGGCAAGATTCCCCAAACTTCCCCCAGTAGTCTTTGTGACAGTACAGCTTCCCATCCTTCTCATAGTACCAGTTAGTGAGGGGATCCTGGCATTCAGAGCACCTTGAAGGAAACAAAGGAACAAAGTTCCAGTAGGCAACAAGTCACAAATCAACAGTCCTTTCCTGCATGGAGAACACCAGACATTCAGCAGCAGCTCACCACCAGGTAGGTCTGCCAGTTATGGATGTAATAAACCCTTCCACTTCCCAGTGCTCTTTGAACTGAAAATTAGCACCAAACCCAAGGTTTGTAAGGAGAGGTGGATTCAACCAGTATAAAGAAAAAGAAGCTTCCAAGGTTTAAAACAAATCCCACACATTGAAACACATCAGTGGGTTTATAAATTTTGCTTTGTAAATTTTACTCCTCTGCTTTCTCCCTCTTTCTGGATGCAAGTTTCCAGCTGCAAAGCTGCCCAGCACAGTGAAAGCTCTGCTCTGTTTCTGCTTAGTGTTTCTATAGCATCACCCTTATGCCAGAGCACCTGTCTCCTCAAGCCAGTTTAGGAAGTGGGACAGAGAGGCAGGATCCACTTCCCTTTGAAATGCAAAGCCAGGTTTGACCCAACCTGTCTGGAAGGCTTTTCTATTGTTCTGTACCAAGGCCTCTCCCAAAAGGTAAACTGCAATGCTCTGCATTTGAGGGAGAGTTTTCAAAGCAGTTCATCCCCTGAGATCCAAATACTTACTGCATCCACCAATTAACTGTGATGAAAATCCACCTCTCCCAGCCGATTGCTCTCCCTTCTGCTGATCACAATGCATGAAAAAATAAACAAGCAACCCACCAAAAAAACCCTCAATAAAACGAATTCTTTGATTTCATGAAGAGAATCCCCAAATTCTTCACCTCTCAGCCTCTATTTCTACAAGAAACCATTATTAATTGTCTGTCTACAGCCTTTCAAGAAACAAACCTCCCCCCTCAAAAAAAAAAAAAATCAAGGAAAAAAATGCAGCAATTCTACTGCAGATACCTTTTTAGCAAATCACAAGCAGAACCCAGGCTTGCTGAATACAAAATAAACCTGCCTCAGCAAGATGCACTGGGCAAGGGAGTTTAACTTCAGCAGCATGGAGGTGTGACTTACTGGAGAGATAAGGCACAGACAGGAGTTGCATCAGTAAGGATTATTCCATTAGCCCTGGGCAGCATGTTCTCAGACTTTAAAAGGAAAATAAGTCTGGCACTGGCCATTTCTGAGCACACAATCCAAAGCAGGTTAGTCACCAATAACTGGTTCAAACAAACACCTCGAGGATCAATGCTGTCATCGGTACAATGTCTTCCCAAATGTGAGAAGATTTTCTTCTGTGCCCTACCCCACCACCTGTCTCAGTTTCTGAGGGGAGCCACAGCAGTGGGATGGGGGTTCAGGTGGGTGTCCCTCCCTCAGCACCCAGTGTGCTGGAGTCTGCCAGTGGCACTGGAGGAGCACTTTTCACATGCTCCCAGGGCTAAGATGAGAGCCACAGCTGACTTCACCTCTCACGAGCTTCCTGAAAACTTATTTGTGCCAAAGCCAGTCCTTGTAAACTCCAGCAGCTTGCAATGAGTGTGATGAGACGTGAGGCTGGTCGTGCTCCAAGACAGCACAGAGAGTTATTTGCTCCATCTCAAGAGATTGCAAAGCAACAAGGTAAAGCTGCTTGTAAGCAGCTTTAGGGAAAACCTCATGGAGAATTCAGTGCTGTACCCTCCCCTCAGGAAGATTGCTCCTTAAAATGTATTTGGCTTCTACAGTGCTTGTTTTCCCAGCTGAGGAGCATCAAATCCTGTCCCCCCTCCAAGTGATGGGAAAGAACTCCAGCATATGCAACAGGCCCTGCCAATTTTGTGTGAAGCAGAGGTAACAGTAATTTAAGACTGCTGTACATGGTACATACATCACTAGAGCCCCAGCCTGGGGGCACTGTCATGGTTACACCCTGCTCCTGGTATGCAAGAGACCCAGAGGGCATCCCAGTGCATTCTGCCTTAAACCACTGGCCTTTGGCTTCCATTTGCAGTAAATACCCCGTGCTGAATGAGCAAATAGGTGAGTGGGAGGGAAAAAAGAGCAAGTGGAGACTAACAGCAAAGATTTCTATCATTTTGTGGCAGGAACATCTGGCTCAGCTTGGGCAAATGGGATCCCTCAGACTTATCCAACTCCTCCATGCATGCCTGTACCAGTGTGTGTGCTCCAGAAGTGATTACATCTTCAAACAGGGAGCTGTGACCAGACCTGCACTTGGGATGCAGACAGCAATGCTGGAGACTGCTTCACCAGGATTTCAGGACTTGACTTTCTATGTTCTCTCCACGGAGGTGGGTCACTTATTTTTAAGCACATCACCTTCCCCTTCTCACTCCTCTTCAGTTTTACCTTCAACCCCTTCCTTTTTCTCCTTAAGTAAATGTAAAATTTCTGCAAAAGCAGTACAAACTGCAATTCTGTTTAGGTGGTCTCCACGGGATCATGTGCATTTGTTTTCCCTTTACCCTTCCTCTAGTACTAAATGGTTTGATTCAACCTTATTGCACTTAGTTAAGTTTGCTTCCATCCGGAAATAAGCACCGGTATCTAATTTGGAACACACCCATAGCAAAATGAAGGTGAGGAGGTGGAGCCAGCAAGCAGTCAGTTCTCTGCTATGTAATTAAACAAATCTGGGCAGGACAAGTTTGCAGCTTAAGGCTCAGAACCCCACCCTGGGCAATGAGGCAACAGGAACAGAGCAAGCAGCCCTGGAGAGCCTGGATGCTGGAATGGGTCTAACTGGCTGCTCCCTTAATCCCTGCCAGGAACAGGACACGGCTGCAGCCCATGCTGCCAAGCAGCACCTTTGTTACTTACCATGCAAGCTGTAACCTTGGAAAGGCTTAGATATGGCAGGTGTGGGAAACTGGCTGACAGCACACAGGTATGGCTTCAATGCCTTCACCAAATGATAAAAGCATCACATGATTATTCCACAAGGGTCTCATTGAAGAGATATGTCAGAATTTTATCCCAGAAGATACAAGAGTTGCCATTTCTTCCTCTCCCTCCTCAGTGGAGCTGTGCCCTTGCACCAAGGTTCACATCAGCTGAGACAGGAATGCAATTACTGCTACAAGTATTAAGGAAGCTAACCTTTGCCAGTCACCACAACCAAAAGAAAGGAGTATGCCATGCTACTCTATCTTTTATAGATTAGAAACCACTAATCTTCTCCTAGATTGTTTGCTATTCTTATTACAGAGTAGCAAACAATGGTAATCAAGTTTCATGGAGGATGGGTAACAGCCATACCTGACGTGTTTCCCCTTGCTGCACAGGCACCATTTTCAGAGCTACAGAACCCTGCTCTGATTATACAGAACAGACATTATAATCCTTCACTTCCCAGCTTTGGCTATACAGAATAAATTAATCTGCCTCCCACAGCCATCCTCCAGGAACTGCTGGCAGCATCTGGGTGCAGAGCTCAGCCCTCGTGCTCTGAAGCACAGCAAGTGCAGATAGAGCTCACAAATCACTGCTCCATGGACTCTTGGTTTTGTGGGGGGTGGTGGGAGGATCAGGTCACAACAGATAACCAGCCTAGTTTCAGCTGAAAAGCAGCACCGGTGCCTGGTGGCATCTCTTTTACAGCTAAATGAAAGCCAATACCTTCACGGAAGCAAAGCCTTCCCTGGCACTGAAGAGACAGATCCCTTCATGAAGGGCTCATTAACAAAATGCCCCCCTCACACACACTGTCAGGCAAGATCAGTTACTGCTGGCCAGGCTCAGGGGAGCTGTGGTTCCAATTCTGCAGGCAGGGCAGGGAGAGGACAGTCCCAGAGCTGCAGAATAAAGCACTGGCCCAGCCTGTAGCTCACCCAGAGGCTTACTCACAGGGCTTAGCAGCAGTGTGTGCACTGGCTACGTAAGAGACACCAGACAAGGAAGAACAGATGTGAGAAACAGACTACTAGAAAGACAGAGTGCCTAAGCTCTGACTATGCAAAGCCATTTCCACACACTCAGGAGAAGGTGTATCCATGGCTTAGCATAATATCCTACACATACTACAAATAATGAGCGTCTGCTCACTTTCCTTCTTCTGAAAGCAGCTGCTGTTTCAGAAAGCTGCCTAAAGAAGCTCAGCAGCCATGCAGTAGTATTTACTCCTATCCCAGACTGTTTTACCAATAGGCTCCTTACTCCCAGACCAGTACAAAAGTGTTTGCAGGACAGGATCAATAATAAGCAAATCCGAGCAGAGGGGATAGGAGGGAGACAATGAAAGTGCAAGCTGTGCCTTTCTTTCCTCATCCATCCACCTAATCAGCACATCAGTGTCAATCACCAGCCTGGCTGTGTTCAGCCCCGCTGACTTTTCTCACTGTGGAGATGCAATGCAAAGTGTTGTTCTGGAACTATCGCCTTTCTCGATTCTCATTTGTTCAATTAGACCAAAACCGATTAAAAGTTGAATTTACCAAAATACCACAGAAGAATCCTTTCCATGTAAGGGAAGTGTGCTGCCCATCTCTAGTTACCTGCAAAGTGCCTGATTTCTTAAACAGGATTATGTGCTGCCTTGCTGGAGATTACATCACCTTCCTGAACTCCCAGAGCAGCACCTCACCTCACCCAGTCACAAGGAGCTTTGAAAGAGAAGCAGCAGCAGCCACATTAATCTCATTCCTCTGCTGGTGAGCAAAGCACAGGGGCACAGGGTACAGTGCACATGGAGGGCTCTCTGGAAGGGAGCCTGCCTGGCTGTGCACACACTGGAGCCGTTCCCTCGAACCAGGGAGCTGGGAAGGGACTGGCAACAGGAATATTCCCTGTCACCCCCTCAGAGCAATGTGGGATCCCAGTTTGAGGCTGGCTGTTTCTGGCACACGAGCACCTCATTCCTCCAGCCTCACACACTGACTGCCTGGGATGGCATCGCAGGGGGGAACCACATTCCGGAGCCCCAGAGCTAATCCTGTGCAAGACTTACCGAAAGGGATCCTTGGGAGCGAAGTAAGCTGGAGCAGACAAGTAACTTCCCATCTTCAACACTGGATAAACCGGATCAGCCACAAACTTGTCCAAC